GAATGATGCTTTATAAACTAAGTCTCTTTATGAGACTTCTAATAGGGAGTGGAGTTGATTTTAGTCATGAGAAAAAGTCCTGTTGTGACAGGAATTGAACCCAGGACCCTGGGATGAGAAGGCAAGCATCTTAACCACTGAGCTATTCAACTCCACTCCAATTTTTGATTTGAAATAAGATTTGAAATAACATATAGGGTCCGGTAATCAATAATTAGGCCACTCCTCTAAAAACCGAATATTATTGAGGGGCCCATCTCTCTGGCCGTTTTGTTCTTCAAAATATTAAGTTGGAAATATTTACTTTAAATTATTATTTTTGGGTCTATTATGAATGGGCCCCTATCCTATAACCCAGGACCCCAGTGCTGTGCATTGTCTACACTGGTTGAAAGTAGCTACGCCACTGACACAGATTACGTTTCACTAAAAACAAAATGGAACAGTCTTTAAATTCTATAGCAACAACCTTTGACACTAAACACTTGCCGGTAGAAAAAGCAGGTTGGTGGAGCGAAGAAAGTCGGTAAGTTCAGGTTTTTGATATAAATTCATGATTAAAGACGTGATCGTAAGTCTTAGCGGTACGTAACAACATAAACTTGATCACCTTAACACCTTATGTTGACTAAGTGGTTGTTAATGTTATTAAGACGTTAGACTGATTCTAGGCTAGGCCCGTAGAGTTGGGGGACTTAATTGTGAAGCTGCATGCTTATTAAAGACTAAGTCTGTATCAGTGTTAGGAGCATCAGCAGCCTAGGCCGTTCACTGTCGGCCGTACACAACACAAACCGTTATTAATACCACGTTGCAGTACGTACCACACTCACCAGAATCTTTCTATACTAGAGCAGTAGACTGTATAGTTGAATAAATCATTGTGTAGCGGCCGCATAGTAGAAATTTACATTTAAATAAATAGGATTGTTGGTTATAAAAGACAAAGTTCTACCAAACTATTATTTTTTTTCTTTCAATAATAGGTTCTGTGCGTGTATTAGGCCTATCATTTTGAAACATGGAAAGTGACAGAAAAATAAAGTTAGCAGAACTGCGCCAAAAGAGATTAGCATATTATAATAACCAGGCACATCACAAAAATATAGCAAAATGGATGAGAGATGTAGAAATTGAAACATCAGAGAAAAATAGATGTACCAATGAAAAATTGGCCTTTGAAGCAGTACATGATTCTGATATCAAACATTCCAATAGAGAGATAAGCGTATCACATTCCCCACCAATTGGTGCAAGCCAAAGTGCTGATGAGGAAAGTCAGAGAGAGCCAGCGAATCAATCATTGAACCAACAGGAACTCATAAATAGATACTTCGAAGAACCAGATCGGACTCCAAGGAGAAAAACTATTTCTACGTTAGGAGACAATGAATCATATGATGATGAAAATTGGTTTGAGCACTTGAATAATGTGGATTCGGGTCATGGTGTCACAAATAGTGCAGGCAGCAATAGTTCAAAAGAACATCTTATTGATAAACCATTTTCGCAATTAAGGAGTTATAAGCCATTTAATGATGTATATTCAGAGCATCAAGAACATAATGTTAAACAAGATAACATACAGTCTAGAGGGAGTATTGATGATTGTAATAGATCATCACATGGAACAGCCCCATCACGTAAGCACAAAAAGCGGAATAAGGTTAAAAAATCCCGAAGAAATGAGAAATACCAGAGTGAAAAGGGTACACAAAATGTTGAAAGGAAACCATTATCACCTAGTTTACCTACAAACTTTTTTGATCTCGATTCTTTACAGAATGCAGCTCGCAATGGGGATGATGTTCTGAGAAAATATATTCAAGAGCTCAGTACAAAAATGGTCAATTCCCAAACAGAAACAAACCACATATCTGAAAGTAACTATGATTTTCCTGCAAATGAATGTAATCTGAAGCAAGCCTCTTATCCAACCACCTTGTTCGCTCTTAGTCACGATCCAAGTCCTACGAATGAAGATTCTTTTTTTCAACATGAAAGAAAAGCACATAATTATGTCCACACCCGACACAATTATACCACAAAATCACAAGATTTTAATTTTCATTATAATGATCATGAAAACATACACAATATGCCATTAGAATATACTAAAGAAGAGGTGGACATGGACTATTCAAGGGTTAGTTCAGAATTTGATGACCAAAAGTCAAAATATGTGCCAAAGATTTGTAAACCAGCAATACTATCATCTCAGCTTCAGAAATTAGGTTTGTGTGATGACATCCAAAGCGATCTCTCTTTGCATTACAGCCAGGAAAAGGATGAGGATCTTTATCAGTTTCTAGATTATAGAGATCATGGTGAAAATGATTTTGATCTTCTGACTCATCGACCCAGTAACCGACCAATTTCTCCTCTTATCCAGCCTACATCATATAGTGAAATTTATGAAGTTGAATGTGAATTAACTCCAAAACCACCACAATATGATGAGCTTCACCTCATTACACACAGACCAAAAGATACCACTGAGAGAAGGAATTTTGAAAGAGTTGAGGACTTTTACAGGAATGAAAAATCATCTAGATCTAAACTGCTAGATTTTTCTATTGATGGTAATCCTACCAATAATGCAAAGGAATGGTTCAATGATTATGATAGCACCATTAGATCCACTTCACCTGAGCAACATATGCTGGCTGTTAGGAAGTATCATAACATTGAAAAACATCGCCGTAAGTCTAGAAATCAAATAAATGGTGATTCTATCAGGAGTCGCTCTACACCTTTCAAGCATGAAGAAATAGATAGCAGACACATGAGAAGTCAGGAGACAAACTCCAAAAAAAGCAGTGTTTGGCACTCTGATAAAAAAGATGATATTTTTACGAGGAATGAAAGTGAAGGAGATGTTGAGTTGTTAATATGCGATGATCACGCTAAACCAGTGACAGACATTGCAGATCACACATTGACACCCGCACTGAATATGACACAAACACTATCAATGCCAGAACATGAAATTAAATTGAATGAAATAGACAGCGAACCTGTTTTGGAGATGTTCGATAGGAAACAAGATTACACATCTCATGACGCAAACCAAAATGAGAGCGACTCTAAACAGCGTTTCGATTCCTCAAATACTAATTACCAGAGACATACTTTTGATTTCTATGATAAACAATTAATTCCTATTCCTCCAAGTAGAAGTCCTGAACCTAAGATTTCAACCAATTTGCATCACCTGAGATCTTCTCACGTTCTAACCCCTGATGAAAATCCTGATATAGAAATTAAAGAAGTTTTACTAGATGCCAACAAATTTTCTGAAGACTCTATTCTGAACCTTTCAAGTAACCCTGATCATGAAGCGATGAAGCCGTTAAGCTTGAAATTAGATCTATCCTTTAATACTGAAGATGATAGTATTGAATACTATCGTGTCAAAACTCCACTATTGGAGAATATCTTAGAAAATACAAACAATATGGAGTGTAATCCTGAAGTGATTGATAACAAAAATTTTAGGTCAAGTTCTCCAGCAAATTCAAAAAAGAAAGGTGTCAGTAGATTACTTGATAGAGGGTCAACACATAAACCAAGATGGCTGACATCCTCTAGTTTGTCCAGTTCAGTATTGACCTCAAAAAAGTTTACTAACACTTTTAAAGATAGTAAAAGAAGCATCACAGGAGGTTGCTTGAGCTTAAGTAGAAAAGATGTCAGCGTCTCCAAAGAGCTATCAAGAAGTCAGGGCATGCTTCAAGATAGAAGTTCTTCGGGTGAGAAATGGCAAAGATCACCGCAGAAGAAAGTTGCCAAGGAGAGCTTCTTTACTGTCAGACCCGCTAAGACAGCAGGTAAGGTTTTTCTGTTATCATTACTATCACTGTTATTATCAATGTGACAATCATTAT